GTCCAACGAGCCACATCCCACAGCCACACACGCCAAAAGAAGAATGTGGACCAAGAGAGGATGGCAGATCAGAGTCACTGAGTCGGCCTGTATCTCATCTGGGGGCCGGAGCAGTGGCCTCTGATGAAGATTCCCAATTGGTGGGTGGTGAAGGTAGAGCAGGCAGAGGTGGAGGGGCCCATTGCTCGCTTCTCCTGAGTCCGGGCCTGCGGGCGGAGTCTCCCCACACCGACTCTGCGCTGGGCTATGGGACTCGCTTTAGCCAGCGGGACAACAGCCGTCGTGAGGCAAGTGGATTCAAACGTGTTTGCACCTGGGAGGCACCCTGGTCCTCCTGCTGCCCTTGGAACCCAGCCACCATGTGAACACACCTGGGCTGGCCTCTGGGGCGACAGCCACCCATGGCCCAGCATGAGAGAGGGGCCACCTGGGCCAGCCAACCCCCGGTGAGACTCACTGTGTGACCGCAGACACACGCTGAGTCCAGTGCAGGCCAGCCCGGCCAAAGGACGGCCCCGTGGGACCGGGAGCTGGTTCGGTGGTGGTGGTTTTGAGTCACTCGGTTCTGGAGTGGTTTGGTGCATGAGAGGTACAGCGAGTGAGGAGTCCATGCTGATCACGGAGCACCTGTTATGCGTTCTTACACAACAGTCAGAGTTGGGGTCCTGATTCTCAGCTGGGCACTCCCACTCATCCTCCCTACGCCCCACTCCTCACTGTGGGCCTATGAGGTAAGCGCTGCCAACCTCAGACCAGAGGAAGAAACTGAGGACTCCGCAGAGACCACATGCCCTGCCCAGCCTCACACAGGGAGCAGGCAGTGGGCTTCAGACTCACTCCCATCCCCGTTCCTGCATTCTCTCTTCCTCCCAGCTGACGCTGCAGATTTCACAGTCAGCCTTGGCAGGATGGTGGTTCAGGAAGCACTCATCCTGGCGGCTGCTCTGCCTGCGGTGTTTCTGAGCTTCTTGGCCTGCTGGGGCTGGAGAAGGGAGGAAGTGAACTCTCTGTTGAATGTGGGAGGATGCCGGGATAGCCTGAAAAGGGCCACAAGGCCCCACGATGGAGTGTGGCCAAGGGCAGGGTGGTTGAACAGAAAGCAATGACTAGGAAAAGCAGAGCAGCTTCGTGCACCCCATGGAGGTCACACTGTGCAGCCCTCACCACCCTGCACCTCCACACCCGGACCGGCCTTGCCCCACGGCTGCTGCTCCCGCTCTCACCTGGAGGGGCTGCACTCCTGTCTGCTCCTCCCCGAGGTCCCCAGGAGACAGCTGTGCCTGCATGGGGGACTCGCTGAAAAATCCGGACCCTCACCCCTTCACTGTTGCATCAGGATTCCCCACGGGGAAGCACAAAAGCGGTAACTCGACCTCCCTGTGACTTTCAATATTTTACATGCTCATGGAGTCTGTGCGTGTCCCAGAGAAACGGTTGCAAACGCAGTGAAACATCAGGCGTCCTTGATTTGGGCTGGAATTATATTCACTTGCTGTGGTCGTGGTGGTTCTCTCAGAAAGACTGCCACGAAATGATCCGTATGTTTATATATGTGTGTGTGTGTGTGTGTGTGTGTGTGTGTGTGTGAGAGAGAGAGAGAATTGCTAGCTACTTAAAGTATATTGTGAGGACAAAATATTTTAAAATGTGGTAAAGATAGTTACAAAGTAAACGATGATCTCACCTGGTAGGGGCTCTGTGGGGTCCTCTGACCTCTTTCCATGCCTCTTCACCCAGAACCAGGGCTGTGCCTGGGGCAGACATCTGCAAACTCCTGGCCAGGCACTGACCGGTCAGCCCAAGGGAAGTAGAGGGCACAGCATTTACCCGGTACTAGCAGCTCCTCTAGTCACTCCACTGGGAACAGAGTCGTAGCTCATCCTGTGTGCTGGGCAGAGCCCAGGGCTGTCCCCGTCACCTAGGGAACACTCCTGGAACCCCTGAGGCATCACATTGTCCAGAGCACCAGGCCACCTGGAGCACCACACCACCCAGAGCGCCACCCCACCCACAGCGTCACACCACCTGGAGCATCACACCACCCAGAGCGCCACCCCACCCAGAGCGTCACGCCACCTGGAGCACCACACCACCCACAACATCACACCACCTGGAACACCAGGCCACCCAGGGCATCACACCACCTGGAGCATCACGCCACCCACAATATCACACCACCTAGAGCACCACACCACCCACAACATGCACCACCCCACCTGGAGCGTCCTCACCACCCGGAGCATCATGCTACCTGGAGCGCCAGGCCACCTGGAGCATCACACCACCTGGAGCACCACGCCATCTGGAGCACCACACCACCCAGAGCACCACACCACTCAGAGCACCACACCACCCAGAGTGCCACACCACCCAGAGCACTGCATCACCCAGAGTGCCACACCACCTGGAGCACCAGGCTTCCTAGAGCACCAGGTCACCTGGAGCAGCATAACGCCTAGAGTGCCAGGTCACCTAGAACACCAGGCCACCCAGAGCACCAGGCCACCCAGAGCACCAGGCCACCCGGAGCACCAGGCCACCCAGAGCACCAGGCCACCCGGAGCACCAGGCCATTTGAGCACTGAGCCATGTGCTTGAGAATCCGATTTTATGGCAGAGCTATTTTCACATGTTTTAAAATGTTTTAAATGGTGGTGGTTTATGGGATTGTACCCTGAGGCTTTGTAGTGCAGAGCATGGTTTAAAAATTGATTAAATAAATACAATTCTGACACACCTGAGATGGGGAGAAGGCCAGCCTGGCTCTGCCTCCTGTTGGGATAGAATTTACAAAATCTGTTCATGGGTTTGTTTTTGCTCCAGGGAGAAGGAAGGCATTTTTAACAACAATGAAAACAAAACAAAACAAAAACAGTTGCTTCCTAGAATCACTTTACATTGGACAGGACCCAGTTTGTGTGCTGATGACAGTCACTGTGTGCACAAACTGTCATCCTCGTCACCTCTCTGAGCAGTGGAAGGTCAGGGTCAGGCTCTAGAAAACCCAGATTTGGAGGGTCACTCAAAAGTAGCCAAAATTGGCCCCAGGCATGGTGGCTCACGCCTGTAATCCCAGCACTTTGGGAGGCCGAGGTGGACGGATCACTTGAGGTCAGGAGTTCAAGACCAACCTGGCCAACATGGTGAAACTAAAAATACAAAAATTAGCATGGTGGCATGCGCCTGTAATCCCAGCTGCTCATGAGGCTAAGGCAGGAGAATTGCTTGAACTCAGGAGGCAGAGGTTGCAGTGAACTGAGATCGCACCATTGTACTCCAGCCTGGGCAACAGAGTGAGACTCCATCTCAAAAAAAAAAAAAAAAAAAGCAGCCAAAATTGCTCTGAAATAATTTGGAAGAAAATGATTTAGCTGAATACATGTTTGATAAAAGGAATAATATGAAAACACTGAACCAGCTAGAAGGTATTTTGGAGATTTTTAGGATAAGGGAAATTTGCTTTGATGAAAGATGGACCTGTTTTATAGTAGGAAGGCACTTTGTTCTCTTCTGAAGTGGAGGTGACCGGGATATTCCAGGTGCTGACTAGAAGCACATGGCCCTCCTGCACCAAGGGCAGCTGTTTCTCAGGGCTGACAGCAGGAGGGCAGGGCTGGGCAGGTGGACCCAGGATGGTGGGTGCCACTCACCGAGGGCAGGTCTTCTCAGAGATGCTCCTTGGAAGATGAGCTCTGCCAGTCGGTCCATCCTGGAAGTACCATATCCTGATATCCTCCTCTAAGAGCTGCCTGGTAGAGAGAAATCTATTGAAAGTTCTGAGAAGTCTGACAGTTGAGAGAACTTGTCTAACTTTTTTTTTTTTAATGCATCATTTTCAAACTTGTTTAACCAAAGAACTTTATTTTTCCTTCTGGAAAATGCTGCATATGTGAAATTTTCAGTATTTATCCTCTCTCCCAAAATGTGAAATCTCCATTTTCTATTTCTAGGTAATACAACCAGCAAGACTTTTGCACGATCACTTGTTTATAACGTCACATAGGTTTGAGTACTTTTGTCTCTTATGTTGCCATCGTCCTCTAAATCAAGGCATCAATACTTGTAGTGAAAAATTAATTTTTTTAATCCTTGCTTCAAGGTCCACAGATAAAGTTCTGATGACTCATTTGAGGCCCGTAGGCCACAAGCTGGCCAACCCAGGCAGGCTGCAGCCTCCTCGTGGGGTCTAACTGGATGGAGTATCTTCCTAGGTCTTGTATACGCTCCCTGTATGAATCTGTTCTCACACTGCTAATACAGACATATTTGAGACTTGAGACTGGCTAATTTATAAAGGAAGGAGGTTTAATGGACTCACAGTTCCACATGGCTGGGGAGGCCTCACAATCATAGTGGAAGGCAAAGGAGAAGCAAAGTCACGTCTGACATGGTGGCAGGCAAGAGAGCATGTGCGGGGAACCTCCCATTTATAAAACCACCAGATCTCATGAGACTTATTCACTACCACAAGAACAGAATGGGAGAAATTGCCCCCATGATTCAGTTATCTCCCCTGGGTCACACCCTTGACACCTGGGGATTATTACAATTCAAGGTGAGATTTGGGTGGGGACACAGCCAAACCCTATCACTCCCCTCCCTCGTGACTGTGTCCGAAAGCTTGCAGTCTTTGCACAACTCAGAGCTAAGTGGGAAGGGACGTTCCCCAGAGTGTCCAACCTGGAGACTGGCAGGACCGCCGCCCCCCACCCTACCCAGCTTCTCCCTCACACCATTCCTGAGACAGCAGCCTCCCCCTTTTGTGTTGTAAGCCTCAGTTCTTTTCTTTGTCAACACCCACTTATCAAGCTTAAGCTCTAATTACACTTATCTGTGCTGAAAATTGGCTATTATCACCACGTAAACTCCTCCTAATTGTAAGAAATACTTCCTTAGCAAACTGCGGGGACCGCTTTCCTTGTTATCGCAACAGAACAGACGGTGCACAGTTGCTTCTCCAGGCTGAACCCCCTTCTTTCCTTTGCCTCTGGCGGCTGCAGGGGTGAGCAAGGTGGTGACTGTGGAAGTGAGAGGGAACTGGCAGCGCTGGCTGAAGGTGCGGGACCTCACCAAGGGGGTGACCTATTTCTTCCGTGTCCAAGCGCGGACCATCACCTACGGGCCTGAGCTCCAAGCCAACGTCACAGCCGGGCCAGCCGAGGGTAAGTGGGACTCCAGGGGCAGATGATGTCAGTTGCAACCTTAGCCTCCCGTCTCCTGCTTCACTGAGCTGGGAGCCGTCTACATGCTCAGCAAGGAGATGCAGGTGGCCGAGAGCTGGCATCAAATCGATGATGTCTGGGGAACATGGATGTCTTCAAAAGCACATGTCAACATGGACTTTGCAGGTGGACTTGTTACATCCATGAGCAAATTCTTAAATATTAAGCATGTAAAGTTTTAGTAGTTTTTTTTTTTTGGAGAAATCTTAAGAGAAAAATAACTGAATTTGGCATTTGAAATAAATCAGAACATTTTAAAGTTTTCCAGGTCATGGGGAAGAAGCATGTAACTTCCTGCTTACCCAACTGTTCTGCCCTTTGTTTAAAGACAGGAAGGTGTGGGCGGCAGAACTGGCATTCAGGGAGTGCTGCTTAGTCCCAGGCACAGTGCGGGGCGCCCTGCATGCGCCAGCTCTTTCATGCCCTCTTCAGGTTTTTTTGTTGTTGTTTGTTTTTTGAGATAGGGTCTCAGTCTGTCACCCAGGCTGGAGTGCAGTGGCACGATCTTAGCTCACTGCAGCCTCAACCTCCCTGGGCTCAAGTGATCCTCCTGCCTCAGCCTCCCGAGTAACTGGGCTACAGGCGTGCATAACCACACCTGGCTAATTTTTTTGTATCTTGTAGAGACGGGTTTTCACCATGTTGCCCAGGCTGGTCTCAAACTCCTGGCCTCAAGCGATCCACCTGTCTCAGCCTCCCAAACTGGCGGGATTACAGGCATGAACCACCACGCCTGGCCTTGCCTCCCTGTTTTTAAGATGAAAAACCAGGGCTGTGTGAGGCTAAGTAACCTGCCCAGACACTCTGCAGCCTCGACCAGTCTGACCCCCACCGTGAAATCTTACACAGTGGGATGTGAACCCCCCAGGGCTGATGCCTCACCTCTCTTTTCTTTATCCCGCAGGGTCCCCAGGCTCGCCTAGAGATGTCCTGGTCACCAAGTCCGCCTCTGAACTGACGCTGCAGTGGACTGAGGGACACTCCGGCGACACACCCACCACAGGCTACGTCATCGAGGCCCGGCCCTCAGGTAGGGTGGCAGGCCCCACAAACGGGGTCTCAGTCCAGCTGATGGCGATGCTTCTAAGGCTGTGGCTGGGGCTTCCATCACTTTCTCTTTCAGCGTTTCCCCCCAACAAAGCTGAGACCAACAGGGTGGTTTTGCTGAAAGAAGATGTTCATGGCTCACTCAACTCCCCCAAGTTTTCATAGTCACAGCTGTGCCGTTCACCTTAAGGGCCTTCGATTTGGGATGTTTTAGCCCCAGGACACTTACTTAGGATGATAATGGTTATTCCTAGAAACAGGTGAATGAGAACTTAGGGACATTAAAAGGCATTTTCGAACTCATCCGTGAGTGTTTTCAGGGACTCATGTCAGGGTTCTAAATGTTTGCAGCCGAGATGGAAAGCGTCGTGCTTGTGTCTGATAATACGAAGATTCTTATTAATAGCGAAAGCGACACATCGTTTGCTTCATTTTTTTAGGCTTCCAAAAATGAGGTCTAAGATCCATTTCCAGCCCTATTCACCAGTAGAATTTGTTTCACCCTTCCTTCCATTTCCCTTTAATAACTGAGGATGGGCATTATTGGGAAATGAGTTTCTGATTGGGTGCGTCGGATATGACTGCTGGGAGCTAGAGGGTATCGCCTAACACGGAGAGCACGGAACAGCTCCAATATGACCTTCAGATGGTTGCACAGTTAATCATGAACATCTGAGCATGAAAATATGTGATGTGTCAGGCACACTATTCAGGAAGCGAGCCATCAAACCCTGCCTGCCAGAGGGACCACGGTGCTTGGAACTGCTTTAGTCTAATATTTAAAGAGGCTGTTAGACCAAGAGGAAAGACCCCAAAGGTACCTCTGTCACTGTGTCAGGACACTCATTCCCTCCTCCCCCACCAAATTGCTTTTGAAAGATTATTAGTTACAAGTGCCTTCTAGAAACTTCTTTATTATTTATTATTTTTTTGAGACGGAGTCTCACTCTGTCACCCAGGCTGGAGTGCAATGGCGCAATCTCAGCTCCCTGCAACCTCCGCCTCCCAGATTCAAGCAATTCTCCTGCCTCAACCTCCCGAGTAGCTGGGATTACAGGCACCCACCATCATCCCCGGCTAATTTTTATATTTTTAGTAGAGAGGGGGTTTCACCATGTTGGCCAGGCTGGTCTCAAACTCCTGACCTCAAGTGATCTACCCGCCTGGGCCTCCCAAAGTGATGGGATTACAGGCCTGAGCCACCACACCTGGCCTCCTTCTAGAAACTTCTAAGGAAAAATTTATTGCCTAAGTGTGAAAAAGCCAAAGGCAATATGAACATTTCTTTGACCTAAGAACTCGAAAATCCAGACATGCTCCCCTGGGGGACCCTGAGAGTATCTTTTGAGCAGGGTGTCTGTCCTGTTGTGGAAACAGAGGGTCCTGAGTTGGTAAAGGATGTGAGTTTAGCAGTGGTCACTGCCTGTAAAAGCCCATGGCCCCTTGCACAGCCAGCTGGCCCTTTACTAATGACTTTGATTCAAGAACACTTTCAGAGATTGATAGGAGCTGAGATGTGTGGGGTCTGGGGCCAAATTGAGGCTTTGTGGCAGTCAAGAGGGAGGGGGCCAGTGACAGGGAGCAGCCCAGACTTAAGAAACCACTTCAGACACTTTCCTCCCCATATCCAGGGAAAGCACTGATTTCTTCATCAACTCTTCCAGCCTGGGTAACAGAGCAAGACTCCGTCTCAAAAAAAAAAAAAAAAAGGCCGGGCATGATGGCTCACGCCTGTAATCCCAGTACTTTGGGAGGCCAAGGCGGGCGGATCATGAGGTCACGAGATCGAGACCATCCTGGCTAACACGGTGAAACCCCGTCTCTACCAAAAATACAAAAAAAAAATTAGCCAGGCATGGTGGCAGGTGCCTGTAGTCCCAGCTACTCAGGAGGCTGAGGCAGGAGAATGGCGTGAACCCGGGAGGTGGAGCTTGCAGTGAGCCAAGATGGTGCTACCTCACTCCAGCCTGGGCGATAGAGCAAGACTGCGTCTCCAAAAAGAAGTTTCTAGAAGACACTTGTAACTAATAATCTTTCAAAAGCAAGTTGATGGGGGAGGAGGGAACCAGTGCCCTGACACAGTGACAGATATAACAAATAGAATTCAGGAGATCCAGGGGTTCACAAATAGAATTCAGGAGATCCGTGAGCTTGGATGGGGGAAAATACACATTTTCTTTTCACTGATCTCTAACTGGAATTTGGCATTTCCTTTGAGTATGGATGCAGGCCCATTCATTATCCAGGGCTGCCATAGCAAAGTCCCACAAACTAGGTGGCCTCCACAACAGACATGGGTTGTCTCATGGTTTTGGAGGCTGGAAGCCCACAGTCAAGGTGGCAGCAGGGCAGGCTCCTCCTGAGGCTGTGAGGGAGGATCTGTTTCCTGTAATCTCTCCCCCAGCTTCTGGTGGTTATGGGCCATCCTGGGTGATCTGGGGCTGACAGGTGCTTCATCCACCTCTACCTTCATCTTCCTATGGTGATCTCCCTGTATGTGTGTCTGTGTCTTGGTTTTATGTTTTATGAGGACACCAGTCACACTAGACTGGGAACCCACCTACTCCAGCAGGACTTCATCCTAACTAATTACATCTGCAACTACCATATTTCCAAATAAGCTCATTTGGAGGTATTGGGGGTTAGGACTTCAACATATGAATTTGCAGTGGGGGGCAGGGACATAATTCTATGCATAATAGTAGCTAAGAAACCGCATAACTCATAGCAGGACCTGTGACACTTCCAGCAATACTTTCATATGACCTCCCAGCCATTGCAGTTATTTCACGACGCTGTTTGGACGTGTCCTTACGTTGAAATCGCAGTCATTTGTAGACTCTGTGCTGGACCTTGTCGGCCAATGAGTCCATGAAGCATAGACTTTTGAGTTGCGCTGGGATAACGGTGGCCGCAGGTCACCGAAATCCAGCTCTTCACGTGTCTTCCAAGGAACCACGTCACCAAAAAAGTTAGTGCAGAGAAAACCACCCATAATCCGTGCCTCCAGCATTACTTGGAGACACGGGTTCCCAGGAACCTGCAGGTGCCTCCAGATGATCGTAGGCATTACCAGTTGTATGACTCCGTTCTCACGTCGCCATAAAGAAATGTCTGAGACTGAGTAATTTATAAAGAAAAAAGTTTAGTTGGCTCATGGTTCTGCAGGCTGTACAGGAAACATGGTGGCTCTGCTTCTGGGGAGGCCCCAGGAAGCTTCCAACCATGGCAGAAAGTGAACAGGGAGCCGGCATGCCACATGGCTGGGGCAGGAGGAAGAGAGTGAGTGGGGAGGTGCCACACACTTTTAAACAACCAGGTCTCATGAGAACTCACTCCTTATTTGTGAGAACAGCACCAAAGGCGTGGTCCTAAAACCATTCATGAGAAACCCACCCCAGTGATCCAGGCACCTCCCACCAGGCCCCTCCCCCAACACCGGGGATGACAATTCAACTTGAGATTTGGGTGGGGACACAGAGCCAAACCATATCACCAGTAGAATTGGTTTCCTTTCCAATTTTACTTTATGTATCTACAACCATTCTGAGAAAGTGTCCTTGAGCCAACAGATCACCAGAGGGACCCATGGCGCCCAGAGCAGATTAAGACGCCTGTAATCGCAGCACTTTGGGAAGCCGAGATGGGCAGATCACTTGAGGTCAGGAGTTCCAGTCCAGCCTGACCAACATGGAGAAACCCCATCTCTACTAAAAATAGAAAAAAAATTAGCCTGGTGTGGTGGCACGCACCTATAGTCCCAGCTACTCGGGAAGCTGAGGCAGGAGAATTGCTTGAACCCAGAAGGCTGAGATCGCACCACTGCAGTGAGCTGAGATCACACCACTGCACTCCAGCCTGGGCAACAGAGCAAGACTCTATCTCAAAAAAAAAAAAAAACAAAAACAAAAAAAACAAACAAAAAAAGACACCTGTACCAGAAAACCACAGAAGGGCCTGGCTACAAAACTTCCTCCTCCCTGAACGCCTGCCTCCTTGACTAGAGATGATGGATCCCAGCAGACGGGTGACTGTCACAGGGCCACAGAAGGAGGCATGCTGGATCTCAACGGCATCACTGCCCGTGTCCCAGCTGTGAGGTTGCAACACGGTTTTGTAGGATGTTACCACTGGGGGACATTGGGTAAAGGATGCACAGACTTGCCCTCCGTTGTTTCTTACAACCACTTGGGACTCTTCACCTATCTCAAAATGATTTGTTTAGCTTAAAGTAATCATTTAAAAAGCCACGGTGTCCATCCTTCCCCAGCCTGCTCGGCCAAGCACACCAATGTGTCTTTGAGCACTTTGGGGCGGGAGACCAGCCTGTGGGATGGGGCGGCACCAGCCAGACACGGGTGCCTGGGCTCAGCCTCTTAACGCTGTGAACACGTCTCGGCATTTTCCAGGCAGTGATAAGGCATTGGTTCTCAGGCTTGCTGAGGGAGCACTTGACCTTCTCCTCAGGTTCTCATATGCTGCTCCACCTGCCGTCACGAAGGGAACAGGATGCCTGTTGGTTACTGAGGCAGCCCAGGGAGCCTGGCAGGCTGTGCGGTTAAGAAGCAGTTGGCGTGTCGGCGAGGGCTTCACACTGGGCCCACGCCTCGGAGGGGCTTGCCTGAACATGGAGAAGCTTCTGAAGTCAGCTGAGTCTGAGCTCAGCAGGGTTGGACCAGAGTGTGGAAACTGACCCACGGGGGACCAAGACGTGACAACAGACCTAACGAGAAGACGCCGGCTTTTTCGGCGAGGGCCGAAGATCCTGCACTTACTTCTGCTTGGCTGCTCGACATTCGAAAACAGGTCACCAACGATCTCCCCTTTCGGGTCATGAAGGGAACCCAAGCGGGCCGCGAGACCCGTGGTCTTTCGTGGGAAGTTGAGAAAGACGCCCCCTCCCTCCTATGACTAAGGCCTGCAGCAGCTCAGGCAAATGAAACGCATTATGGATTGTCAATATTTAAACACCTTGCCGGTACC